GATCATCAAATCAGTGCTGACGTGCACAATGACTACTTTCTTTTCATTCATACGTTCCCTTATGGCTAAATACTTGATGTCGATGTGCTTACTTCGACTTCCACTTTTCTTATTCTTAGCCATAAAGACAGCAGCTGAATTATCGCAATATATTCTCAATAGTCCAGAAATAGAATCCATGATTCTAAGCTCGATATGAAACTCTTTAACCATACACCATGTGAAGTAGCCTCAAAACAAGAAACGAACTCGGCTTCCATAGTGGAAGTAGCAGTCAAGGTCTGCTTGACACTCTTCCAAGATATAGCCCCATCGGCCATCATAAGTATGTATCCTGATGTTGATTTACATGAATCAATATAGCTAGCAAAGTTTGAATCTGAGTAACCAATTACTTCCAAATTGTCCGTTCGTCTATACGTAAGCTTGTAGTCCTTTGTTCCTTGAAGGTGCCTTATTACTTTCTTTGTTGCTCTATAGTGGTTCATATGTGGATCACTCTGATAACGTCCTAACATTCTCACAGCAAATGCAATGTCAAGTATTCTGCAGACATGGGCATACATCAGACTTCCAACAGTAGAAACATATGGAATGTTCATTTGTTCCGTTTCAAAATTATTTTTCAGGCATTGATTCGAATAGAATCTATCACCTTAAACAATGGGAGCTACACTTAGTGAACAATCTTTCATCCGAGATCTCTCTAAAACTTTATTAATAGGTTTCTTGAGCCAAACCTAAAATGCCTTTAAATCTGTCTCTATGGATCTTAATGCCAATGACATAAGATGCTTCTCCCATATCTTTCATGTCAAAATTTTTAGAGAGAAATTGTTTCACTTCATGTAACAAACCATTATCATTGGTCGCAAGTAGAATGTCATCCACATATAGAACAAGAAAACAGATCTTACTCCCACTGACCTTCTAGTATATACATTGATCCATGATGTTTTCTACAAATTCGAATGAAGAAATTACCTCATGAAATTTGAAATACCATTGACGGGAAGCTTGTTTTAAACCATATATGGATTTCTTGAGCTTGCAAACCAAATGCTCGCCATCATTAGAGGGGAATTCTTCAGGTTGTTTCGTGTAAACCTCCTCTAAATCTCCATTGAGAAATGTTGTTTTCACATTCATTTGCTACAATTCTAAGTCAAAGTGGGCTACTAATGCCAAAATAATGCGTAAGGAATCTTTCTTAGATATAGGAGAGAAAGTCTCCGTGTAATCAATTCATTCTTTTTGAGTGAATCCCTTAGCAACAAGTATCGCCTTGTAGCTCTCAATGTTGCTCAATGAGTCTTTCTTTGTTTTAAAGACCCATTTGCATCCAATGGCTCTTGCACCATCAAGCAACTTAACAAGACTCCACACTTCGTTACTCTTCATAGAATTCATCTCTTCCTTCATGGCATTGTACATTAATTCTGATTCTTTGCAACTTATGGCTTGTGAAAAAGACTCAGGATCATTTACGGCTCTATGTTGTAGTCAAATTCTTGTAGATATACAACATAATCACTAGGAATCGTTAATCTCTTTGTTTTAGTAGATCTTCTTAATGTCGTTCCATTATCTTCTTGAGAAGAACGTGGCTCAACAGGTTGTTCAAAAGTCCTTGGTAACGCTTGAATTACCTGATCTACTGGGATGTGGTCAGCAACTTGTGGAACTTCAACAATTGATTGTTCAATACCAATCTATACTTGAGGGGTACTGTGAACAATAACCAATCTATTACTTGAGGTAGAAGATTGAGATCCTAAATGATCATTTCTAGAAACTATATTCCTGATTTGATCGCTCTCATTGATCAAGTCATTCTCAAGAAATTTTGCATTTCTTGACTACACAATCCTAGTACTATGAGATGGACAATAGAATCTGTACCCTTTTGACCTTTCAACATATCCAATGAATAGTTCTTAGGTCTAATTTCTTCTCTTGTGGATTATAAACTCTTACTTCAAATGGACATCCCCAAACACGCATATGCCGTAAACTCGATTTCCCTCGATTTCCAAGCTTTTCATAATTCAAATGGTGTTTTTGGGACAGCCTTAGTTGGAACTCGATTTGTTATATACACAGCCATCTTAAGTGCTTCAGTCCACAAGGATTTAGGAAGATTGGAGCTACTAAGCATGATCCGCACCATGTCCAATAATGTTCTATTTCTTCTTTTTGCTACACCATTCTAGTCTGATGAACCAGGCATGGTGTATTGAGAAACTATCCCATTCTCTTGAAGAAACTTTGCAAAAGGACCATGTGCTTGTCCGTCTTCTACATATCTACCATAATATTCTCCACCTCTATTTGATCTCACAATCTTAATTTGTTTTCTGCATTGTTTCCCTACTTCAGCTTTTAAAATCTTAAAGGCATCTAATGCTTCATTCTTGTTATGAAACAGGTAGAAAAACATGTACCATGAGTAGTCATCTATAAAAGAGATGAAGTATTTCTGACCATGTGAATCCATGTCTAGACTACATATATCAGTATGTATGATTTCTAATATGTTCGAACTCCTATTGCCACCCTTCTTTGACTTGTTGGTCTGCTTTCCCTCAATGCAGTCTACAAGTTTCAAAATCCATAAAATCAAGAGCATTAAGTACTCCATCATTTACTAATCTTTTAATTCTCTCTATAGAGATATGTCCCAATCTCCGATGCCATAATTTAGAGGAATCCTCATTCATAACACATCGTTTAATACCAGTGTGAACATGTATAGCATTATAAGTGGTGTTATTTTGCAAATTGAGAGAGAAAAGACCATCAGAAATGTACCATTCCCAACAAGATCAGATTTATAAAATAAATTGAAAGTTGATTCTGGAAAATTAAAGGAATAACCCAAAGGTACAAATCTTGAAACTGAAATCAAATTTCTGGAGAAACTTGGAATATAAAATGTCTTTTCCAATTCTAAAATAAAACCAATACTTAAAGTTAAACTACATGTTCCAATAGATTCAACATGTGAACGCATCTTGTTTCTTGAATAGATGCCTTGCTCACTTTCCACTGGCTTCCTTAGGTTTCACATACTTTGCAAGATATTTGAAATATGGATTGTAGAACTAAAATCAATCCACCATGTGTTGTACATAATATTAACCATATTAGATTCATAGCAAACAAATGATATTGGATTACCTTTAATCTCTAGCCATTTCTGAAATTTAGAGCATTTTTTCTTTACGTGTCCCTTATTCTTACAAAAGAAACACAAAGTTTCCTTCTTAATGTTAGCTTTGGGAGGTATTTTGCCTTTTCCTTTCTTATTGGCTCGAGCCCTGTCCTTTCCTCGCATTGCCAGCATTGCACTTTCTCCCAATTCCATTATGAGCCTCCCTTCCTCTTGAATACACATGGTCATGAGTTCATTAATTGACCATTTATCTTTATGTGTGTTGTGCGAGATCTTGAAAGGCCCGTATTGAGGCGAGAGAGAATTCAGTATATAGTGCACTAGGAAGGATTCTGACATCTCAACCTCGAGGTTCTTCAATTGAGCCGCAATATCCTTCATATGCATAATGTACTCATGCACATCTCTCACAATGGTGGGCCTCATGGAAGAGAGCTTCATAATTAGGGTGCTTGCCAGTACCTTATCTGAAGTGATGAATTAATCATCTATGGCCTTTAGCAAATCACGGACTTTCTCATGCTGATCAACCGAACTACGTATACTAGCTGAGATATTTGTCTTTATGAACATCACACTAAGACGATTGAATCGTTCCCATCGTTCATAAAGAACAACTTCATAAATAGTGAGTATATTATGATCATAATTTGATATTCTATCTAAAATCCATGATAAGACTATCGAATCATATCCTAATCCATAATTCCTGTGGGTATATTATGAAAAAGGGTAACTTGACATCTTATCCTAATTAATTATATAAAATATAATAAAAATTCCTGTGGGATAAAATTTATAATATTAAGAATAATTGATTATAATTTAATGTCCACAACTCTTTATGTGATCCTAAACAAGCATAATAATTAAGCAAAAATTATATTGATCACTAGACATTAAAAAACTTACGCATAAACAATTAACTTAATGTGAGGATAAGTCTAATTGTGCAATATTAACCAATACGTTATGATTATGCTCAAAATATTCTCATAAACATTCTAAATAATTTAAACATAATCAATTTATGCAAACTAAATATGAACACAATTCACAATTTAATCACACATGTTATAAATAAATGAAAAAATTGAAATAAATGCCCAACAATTTATCAAAAAAAAAAAAGGACCAATATTCAATTGCATATCTTTTCCCAAATCACACATATTACGGTCAGGATTTTACTGGTCTACATTGTTTACGAACGCCTTCGAGTTGTCAGGAGATGTAATAGATGTCTACGTACTGGGAATATCTCAAGAAGGAATGAAATGCCATTGAACAACGTCTTGGAAGTGGAGATATTTGACGTCTGGGGAATTGACTTTATGGGACTTTTTTCCCCATCGTTTTCAAATCAGTATATCCTAGTAGCCATTGACTATGTGTTTAAATGGGTGGAAGTAGTTGCATTGCCAACCAATGACGCAAAGGCAATGATTGCATTTTTCAAAACATACATCTTCATTAGATATGAAACACCACAAGCAATAATCAGTGAAGGGGCAAACACTTCTACAATCGCCAGTTTGAACAGTTCTGGACTAAATATGGCGTTAAACACCGTGTAACTACCCCATATCATCCACAGACTAGCGGGCAAGTTGAAGTTTCCAATCAGTTAAAGAGAATACTTGAGGTGACAGTGAATTCATCTCGAAAGGACTGGTCTAAAAAGCTAGATGACACATTGTAGGCCTATAGGACAACATTCAAGACACTGATAGGTATGTCCCCATACCGCCTAGTATTTGGGAAAGCTTGCCACCTGTCACTAGAAATAGAACACTAGGCATATTGGGTTATGAAATAGTTGAACATGGATTTGAAGGCCGCCGGTGAAAAGCATTTAATACAGCTTAATGAGTTAGATAAATTTAGAATGAAAACATATGAAAACTCAAGGCTCTACAAAGAGTTAACCAAGAAGTGGCATGACTTGCATATTCAGAGGCGAGAGTTTGAAGTGGGACAGAAAGTTCTATCGTACAACTCTAGACTCAAGCTCTTCCTGGGAAAATTAAGGTCAAGGTGGTCAAGTCCCTATACTGTCACAAAGGTTTTGCCATATGGAGCTATAGAAGTTAGCAACGAAACTAAGGGTACCTTCACAATTAATGGGCAAAGGCTGAAATATTACTGAGCGGGGACCTCTCCAAGCAAAAGTTCACCTTTCAACTTGGGACACCAAACTAAGGCAGACATAGAAAAGTCGAGCTATCGACTATAAACTAGCACTGAGTGCCACCTACTGTATCCTTTTAATTTATGTTGCTTTTTGCATTACCTTAGGAAAATTTCAATTCATGTTTGAATTATTTTTATAGTTTAGGTCATCGATCATCCATGAATGTTAAAATAGCCTAAGCACTACCCACACGAAGTCCTATGCATCAAGCATGAGTTGGGATTGATTGGAGCTATTTTGGGTGTGAAATTCACGCATTTCGAGGCACAAAGTTATTTTTCATAATTTTTCGGGGTTCTAGTGTGTTTTCAAATCAAAAGTTGGTTTTGGCACTAAGTCTATAGCCTACACGTACTCCATATAGTCTAAAGATGTGTTTTTGAAAAGTCTGGGGACGTGGAAAGGCCAGGTCAATTCACCAATTGAAAACCAAAATTTTGGAAAAATTTTAGCTAAGTTGTGTTTTATTTTGGGAATCAATTGTGTTGTTAAATTTTCATGTGCATACTAATTTACAAAAACCATTGGCATTTAAAAATAATAATAATAAAATAAAAATAAAAAATGACATTGTACGTGATCTATGCGACCGCATAGACCACATTGCAATACAGTCGCATGCTAAGGTCCAGGGCCTAAAATGGTCCGGACCAAGTGCTCTATGCGACTTCATGCCATTGCTCTATGTGGTTGCATAGAGCACACAAATAAAATAATAATAAAAAAATAAAAAAATCAGATTTACAAAAACACGTGAAACCCAAAAATCACACTTGTGATTGGAAGGGGAAGCAAGTCATAGATTCCAGACCCTATGAATTTGATGATCCATCGACGTCTCAAATTTCCAATACTGAACAACATACAGCTCCAAATATTCCAACAATTAAAGAAGAATCATAAACCCTCCAAGAAAAACACATTCACTTAGAAAAATATATGAATCACAGGAACTCAGATTATTCTCTTGTGAACCTCAATCATATGAAGATGTTTCAAAAGACAAGATTTGGACAAAAGCAATGAATGAAGAAATATCTGCCATTGAGAAAAATAAAACTTGGGAACTCGTTGAGCTACCAGAAGGAAAGAGGGTCATTGGTTTGAACTCTATATAATCAAATACAATGAAGACAGATCAATTAAAAAATATAAAGCTCGACTTGTAGCCAAAGGATATTATCAACAATCACGAGTTGATTTCACAAAGACATTTGCTCCAGTTGCAAGAATGGAGACAATACGTACAATTTTGGGATTGGCAGCTCAATTCTAGTTAAAAGTTTTTTAGCTCGATATAAAATCCACACTCTTAAATGGTGAAATTCAAGAAGAAGTGTGTGTTGAACAGCCTGAAGGATTCAAAATCAAAGGGAAAGAAGATAAGGCTTATCGTCTTCAAAAAGCATTATATAGGTTAAAGCAAGCACCCCGAGTATGGACTAGCAAAATCAATAGCTATTTCATTCAAAATGGCTTCAATCGAAGCACAAGTGAATCATACTTCTATGTGAAAAATGTAGAAAAAGATTTTCTTATCGTATGCCTCTATGTGGGTGATCTTATCTACTTTGGAACAAATGAACACATGGTGGACGAATTCAAAATGAAAATGATGAAAGATTTTGAAATGTCTGACTTAGGACTTCTGAGATATTTTCTTGGGATTCAAGGAAAGTAAAGGCCAGGAAGAATTTTTCTTTCTCAAGAAAAGTTTATTGATGATGTTCTCAAAAAATTCAAAATGAGTGAGTGCAAGCCAGTCTCTACTTCGATGGCCTTAAATGAAAAATTGTAAGTTTATGATGATGGAGAAAAACTTGATTCCACATTAAGAAATTGATTGGTTCATTGATTTATCTTAACACAATGCCAGATATTACATATTCAATCAGCTTATTATCTAGATTTATGAATGAACCAAGTAGACTACATTTTGCAGCAGCAAAAAGAATTTTGAGATTCCTTAAAGGAACCAAGAATCATGGCATAGAGTTTAAAAAGGAAAAATAATTGAAAACTTGTTGGTTATACAGATAGTGATTGGGCTGGATCAGTTGATGATAGGAAGAGCACTTCTAGATACATTTTTTGTCTTGGATCAAATGTGATTTCCTGGAGCTCAAAAAAGTAGAAATTCATTACTTTATCATCAGCAAACGCAGAGTACATCGCTGCTACAGATTCAGCTTGCGAAGCTATTTGGCTCAGAAGAATTTTAAAAGATTTGAAATTTGAGCAGGAAGGACCAAAAACAATTTATTGCGACAATATATGTCGACAATTGCAATGACAAAAAATCCAGTCTTCCATACTAGGTCAAAGCATATTGAACTTCGACATCACTTTATAAGAGATTTGGTAAATCAAGAAGAAATTTACATGGAGTTTATAAGTACAACGATCAACCGGCCGATATGATGACGAAACCAATGATGATTGATAAGTTTGAGAAATTCAAGAAGCATTTGAAGATTACAAATTAAGGGGGGGTCTTAAAATTTCTAGAGTAATTTGTAATCTTCATCTAGTTTAAATCAAAATTGGAAACTTCAACAACAAAAGAAGATTCAAAGATTTCAAATCTAAATTGAACACTTCATCCAACAAAGGCTTTATTCATTGAATGGTCAAAGGATAAGATTTTCAATTCAAGTTGTATAGGGAACTTATGCAAGTTGGAAATTAACATAGACAATAATCAATTCACATTCTGATGTTCTGCAATCTGGAAATTACATCAGGTAGCAGCCATTTGACACTTATGATGTTCATACACAGCTACAAATACATATGTTCCAGCTGTAAATGATGAAGAAAAAATAACTTTTGCCTAGTTGTAATTGTAGAGAAGTAGTAAGACTTGTTTACTCAATGTTTTCTACAAATAGGGAGGTATCCATCTAGTGTTATGTACGTAGAAGTGAGAAAAATCTCTCAAAAAATTAGAGAAAGAGTGTGTTATAGCAACTCTTTTGTAATTCCTCAAATTTCATAAGAAAAATTTCATATTTTTCTTATCTATTTCCTTCTACACCCAACATTTCTGTGCCCCAATCCCTAATGTCTATGTTGTAGACCTAACTTGTTGACTTGAGAAGAGTGCTTCTTTTTTACAAGGAGGTTCAGTTCGAAGATTGGCTCTTCACTTTACAGGTTAGAGTCAAACTCATTTTTTGGGTGTAGCAAGATCATTTGTAGATAATAATTTTTATTGTTGACAGACTACCAATTGTTGCATATTGGATTCGTACAGGAGTTACAATTTTAAACTGTTCTTTTTGAAATTTTTCTTAAGTTTCTATTAGTACTTGAATCCACTAAAACCCCATTTATGGTAGTTCAAAACTTTCATTATGATGTTATTAGTTGATTACCAATTTAATGACATAACTATTTTTTTGCTTTTTATAAAATGGAAGAAGTTTATGCATACCTTAAACAAAATGAGCATTTTTTTTTCTAATGTGATGATGTGGATGGTGAAAACAAGGTTGAGCATTTTCTTTTCCTTTTTTGATTGCAATAAATATTCATCTGGAAGTCATTCTTGTTGACTTGTTCCATTTATCAAAACATTTTTAAATGTTTATTTCACCTTAACTATCACCTAAACATTGTTTACTTTCTAATTGCACTTCATTAAGTTTAGTTTAATGTTATATACTATTTTATATGAACTTTATTATCATGTCATTTAATCTTTTGTATAATTTCTATGGTTGCTCAAAAATGTAAATCTATATTATCATGTCATTTAATCTTTTGTATAATTTCTGTGATTGCTGAAAAAAGTAAATCTAAAATTTTTTCCCATTCTTCGATGAAGTTTTAGTACATATGTATTATAGATCCGATTATTTCCTCATTTTAGTCCTATAAAACATCTCATCTCATCTTCAGAATATCAATAAACTGGAAATGTCTAGGGGCGTTGCTCCTTTAAATACTCTAATTGTCCATTTGATATGGGTTAAAATTTGATTTTAATCTAAATCAAAGTCAAACAAATCAATATTAATCACATCTTTCATGGGTCCTATAACTTTTTCAACTACATATTTCAAAAACTTCTATCATAATCTACTTAAAAAATCTAATTTTAATCCCCACCAAACACCCTCATATTAAATTATGAATTACATCTTTTCACTTATGTGCAGATAAAACTTTATCTGTGGGAAGCAGGGTATCAAATTCACTAATGATGTGAAAAAGAATTGAGGTGAACTTAGGATACCGCAAGGAATTAAGAGATTATCCATGATTGTTGAAAGTCAGTAAGACTTGATTGCACTTTAAGTTTTTTACTTATCTCATATTGTAACTTTTATGTCAAACCCATATTAATTTCTCTGTTCATAATTCAATTTACTGAAATGAAATATACTATACACGCATGTTTTTATTCTAGATGACAATGATACAAAAAATATTCACTTTTAAGAGCTTTTCTTCATGTACTCTTGAATCCTAGATCAACTTTCAATTACATGTATAAAAACTACAAAATTTGTATTTGAAAAGACCTTCTCACAATACCTTAAAAGGAAAAAAAATGTAATTTCTTTTCCATTACTTATTTTCTTAATTGTTTTCTTTTTTTTTTTTTCCCTATAAAAGAAGAAGTTCAATTGTTTGGAGAACAACTTCTTGCTCTCACCATCTTATTCTTTCAGCTCTGGCACTCACTTACTCTTTCAGCTTATATTGAATGCAACATCTAAATACATAGTGAACTTTGCATATGGATTCTTCAACTTCTTTATCAGCCTCGAGTAAAACAAGAAGTTCAATGTGAAGGAGAACGGAATCACTATTGGATCGGGATTCTATTTTTGAGAGTCTACTAGGGTATGTAGTGGATGTGCTACGACGAACAGTGTGAATCATGATGGATTCATTTCGAGGCATACAAATATGAAGTATGAGCTAAGAGATACTTCTGGTGTAGG